CTTGGTCTGCGTATTCTGTGCATTCTGCCACGTCGTGAAGGGTACAGGGGCAGTGTTCCTCGGCCGAGTCCGAGAGTTCGTACTTGCTTTGCAAATGTTGCGCATCAGGTTCAAGCACAGCTGGGGCACCGCAGAGAAGCTCTACAAGTCCGAGGCCATCGACTCCTTCGGCAACAAGTACCTCCTTGGTGTCTACGAGACCGTGAAGGAGGCCGAGAAGGCCTTCGACGAGTGGAACAAGGAGCACCCTGGACGCCAGCATGCTTCGTTCTGGATTTGCAGTGTCGAAACATCCAATACACTGAGAGGTTGCCACTCTTATAACGTCATGCAGTTGATGCAGGGTACCAGCGGAGCGATTGCGTTTATTTGCGCCATACTATTGTTGTGAAGTGGCAGTAATTTTGCGGTCCGAGCGCTCTACATCGCTCTACTAGGGGAACGATAGAACGGCGCCAGGGAGTCGTCAAGTCCTCATGTGCATGTTTTGGATAATTATAATAGTTAATCAGGCGGATACGTATGAAATCTTGGCACACCCTGCCGAGAGAAGCCACGAAGGTATGAGCAGGCCGGCGCTGACGTCAAGGAGTCTCTGAGCGGCTGGGCCAAGCAACAAGAGGCGGCTCTCGCCGAAGACCAGGACGGTGGCGGGTGGGGACAAATAGAAGCGGCACTTTTCTGTAGCTATGCCCTGCAAGAAGTCTAGAGGCGCTCTGAGACCACTGAGACCTGGAGTCTCCCTCCGTCAGCCAGGACGAAGTGGACCGCCTACGCAAGGCACTTGAGGAGGCACGTCGCTGAGGCGCGTGAAGCCCAGAAGAAGGGCTTAGGGCTCAAAGGTCTCCAAGGGTGGGTCACGGATGACACTTCCTGTAGTTAAACGATGTTAAACGAACTGAGTATCCTTGAAAATCGTACAGATCTCATCTCCCAGGCGAGCGCCAATCGCGCAGGGTGCAACAGGATTCGTTTAGGGACTGCATGCGTTTCCAAGTTGTGTTCATGCAGCAGCAGTTGCTTGGTGGTTGGACTTAGGCTTGGAAGGCGGACGCAATTGGGCCTGAAATCCGCCTGTGCACTATCTCCCACCTTGGAGACGCCTAGTTGTATCGAAGATCGACGCAACAGGCAAGACTTCTACACACAATAGTGTCCACAGTTTGTGCGACGGCACATAGAGATGGCACACTAAATTGGGGTTGCCGAGCTGTCTGCAGTCTTTTGCAATGTATGCTTGGCCGGTTCTTCACAGATGGAACGCGCGCGAGCGCAGTTAGTGATTTTTGACCGTGGGCCGTTGTAGAAAAAGGTATTGTGAGGACAAGCAAGAAACTCAGAGAAAGAGAGAGAGAGAGAGAGAGAGTGCCCATAACCCTGCCGAAAGAAAGAGAGACAGACAAATTTGGGGGGCCTACTGGCCGGGGGGTCTAACCGACTCCCCATGCCCTGGAGAAGAGACAGACATCCTTTAGTTGATTTTCGTATCGGAAAGGGGGGCCAGACCCTGATTTAATCCATAGCAGAGTGCCGGACACCAGAACAGCTTCTTCGTTTGAGTATGTACGAGGTCCCTGAGGCCCGGGCTTTTGCTGCCTTTTGTTCGGCATCTACAGGATACGGCCAATGCTATGGAAGCGCCAGCTAGTGTAAAGGACCCACTGCCACGAACCGGGGGGCTTGCCCTGAGATCTATTTGTTTCTTGTAGCCTCGAGTCTTCCACAATAAATCCAGGGATAGGCAAGAACCCTCAGTCAGCAGCAACGACAGCACCCTGGGAAGAACCCAGCACAACCTGGCCAGGAGGGTTTTGCGTGTTTTTCGCTTTCCATTATAGTGCTTCATCTGCCGAGTTTCGGGGGCCAGGTTGCCTTGTTGTCGCGTGGTCTTTACTCTCACCAAAGGCCCCGCAACAGTCGGGGGCGCTTGAAGCGCGCGGGCGAGGGGCAACCCTCGTCCGTAGCCCTGGCGAAAGAAAGACAGACAGAGAGAGAGAAAACAACAACAGCGACTAGCCAATATATTTGCTGTCCGGTAAGAACGCGCAGAAAGGCGGGCGGGAGTGATGCTTGGGGGGCTTGACTCGCCCCTTATGTCTGGGAGGAGAAGAGAGAACATCGCCTCTGAAGCACGATCGGCCATGCCCTTGAGGGTCGTGTCCATCTGGCCTGGTGTGAGAGAGAGAGCGGGAGGGAGATGGAGGGATGATGATGATGACTCTGATGATGGTGATCGTGAAAGGTGAGGTGGAGACAAAAAAGGGCGATGAGATGTTGAATAGCCAGCCGTTGTGACCATGATGAAAAGGCTACGATGGTTCTGTTCATGTTGTTGGTACGGCTGCTACTGTTGGTGATGATGCTGACAATTTGGTGATGGTGGTCATGATGGTAGTGGGCTCCGAAACAGAAATGACAATGAGAGTTGCGGTGATGCTGTAGCACTGTAGCGGTTGGGCATAAAATGCCATGACGGTCACGTGGTTCATCATGATGATGAGAATACTGGCACGGAGGATTGCAATGAAGTCTCAAACGTCGCGATCCTCGAACGGCAATATTGAAGGTTGCCTTCCTGACGATTAGCTTTCACATGCTCACTACTGGCAGCACGGGTTGCCAACGGCACATGTCGCTTCGAAATTAGTTTGCTAACTTGCATGAAGGCGCAGGCTTGATGGCGACCTCTGGTTCTAACGCAATATTTTTTGCAGCGTGGTGCAACATGGAGATAAAGCTGCTATGAAGAATCTCAGCTTATCATGCGAACTTAATGCGCAGGATTTTGGCTCAAGTGCCCAGCTGGACCTGGCCCTACATAGAAGTTGCACGGTCCCTTGGTCCAGCCACCAGCAAATTCGCACACGGAAACAAATAATTAAGGAAACCCTGAAGCTGCAGCATGTTGTGTCAAATCGGTGCCAAGGAATGACGCAGTCCCGTTTGTTGCCAACGGTGCTGCTGGCCGCTTCGTCATGGCTCCTGATCTCGCTCTTCGGTTCCCAGCAGAGCCTTGGCCCCATGAGACACAGAGAGCATCTGGCTTCCTCCGTAAAACGAAACATGGTCCAAGATTGAAGATTTTTCTGTTTGCCGGTGTCCCATTCGGAAGTTGAGGACCTCCTTCCTGGCGGGCACTTCTCCAGCGGCATCCACTCGTCAGAGCCGAACCGCCATGCGAGGCTTCAAGGATGACTT